TTGGCATAAACTGCCACTCAAAAGGCGGTCTTTTATAGAATAACATACCTCGCCGTCTAAAAGGCTGCACGTTTGGAACGAAATCGGGGCAATGGTGACGTTGCCCTGCTCCTGAGCTCCCTGTTTTCGCACTCAGTTCTCCTTTACAAGATGCACACAGGACGTCTTCATCTTTTTTAGGTTCCTTCCCTTTGATACGTTCAAAGACACTGAGATGTAGCCCAGGGTCCCTTTCTCCGTCATCTATGACCAACTTGAATTTTGGCAACTTATTTTTTAAACCAGTCGTCGTCATGTTTACTCCAAGTGGTTGTGGGAAAGGGTTCTCATCCACTGCCATCTTCTTCTTATCCAACGTAATTCGTCCTGATTTAATGGCATCATGTAACACATGGCGAAAAACCAAACAGTTGTTAGTCAAATGTGATAATATATTATGCCACTTACAATATTGTTTACCCTTAATTTGTTCAGGGCTTGACAACTTATGTTTATCGTTCAACTTTATCTGCTTATCCTTATATAATTTATCAAATATAAGGTCAGCTTTGGTTACATCGAATGAGAACGTTCTAGCATTTTTGTTTTCATCTTTTATAGGTTCATCCTTACCCGATGCTATAGGCTTAGCCATTATAGGACAAGTATACGCATCTCCTGTGATATTGGGCCAAACATACTTCGGTTTGATCGTAATATTTATCATTAATGTTATGAACATCAAAATTTGGGTCTCTATAATAAGTCCCCTTTCTAGAATTTTTCATTTTCTCTTCTTCTCTTATTAATCGTTCATACTTAATCACGTTTGCGCTCAATTGGAAAAGATCTGGAAATTCCCTGTCTTGGAATTTCTTTTTCAAATCAAAGTTTAGACAATTTTGAGAGATTTTGACAAATTCCTTTTCGGGTAAAGGTACAAAATACTTAATTCTTGCTGTTTTGAACTTTTGAAGGAAACCTTCTGCCCATTCATTTGGCATTTGACGTAAATTCGCCAAATCGGTTAAAGTAACTTCAGATTCAGTATTGTAAAACTTAGCATGAAACAATTGTTCCAATTATTGCCATGTTTGAACAGAGTTTACTGGCAAATTAATGAACTAAAAGAAAGCTACTCCTGTTAATGAATTAGGGAATAACCTCATTTTATGGTAGTCGGTTACTTCGCCACTCTGTAGTGCGAATCGCCCTATGTGTTCTAGAGTAGATACTTCCCCTAAACGAGTGAATAATGAAAATTCTGGCACCTTGTACCCTCTAGGCCATGGATATGCTTGATCTACCCAATCGGGATATGGCTTCGTATAAGTAGGCCTGATGACAGGACGTACCCCAAGAGTCATTTGATCCTGCACTATCTCCATGATTTGATTACTCAACATGACATTGGGATCATATAGAATTCTTACGGGTTGGTTTAATGGTTGATTCGCTTGAGGCCTAACATTTGGTCCTTGGTTGGCAACAAAATTGCCATTGTTTGGGCCATTATTACCATTGAATTGAGTGTTTAAACCATCATTAATACGCGAGGCGTTATGTTTATCATTCAGGACTTTATCTCTTATAATTGAATTACCTCTGTGTAAGTAGGCCTAATGACAGGACATACCCCAAGAGCCATTTGATTCTGTACTATCTCCATGATTTGATTCCTCAACATAACATTGGGATCATATGGAATTCCTACAGGTTGATTTAATGGTTGATTTGCTTGAGGCCTAATATTTGGTCCTTGGTTGGCAACAAAATTACCATTGTTTGGGCCGTTATTACCATTAAAGTGAGTGTTCAAACCATCATTAACTCGCGGGGCGTTCTGTCCATCATTCAGGACATTATCTCTTATAATTGGATTACCCCCCAGGTTAGTAATCTTATTACCACAATTCAAGTTTGACGTTCCATTACCCCTCTGGTTTGATGTAGATGGACCAAAGGGTGGTTCTAATCCTTGATTTAAGTTCAAACCATGAGAATTATGTGGTGAATTATGTCCCACAATTATCCTAATTTGAAAGTGGTTTGCAATAGGCATAACTGGCTGACACATTTGGCTTACTAACTTGTTCATTATTTCATTTAATGTATTCAGTTGTTTGGCCATATTGTTATAATGTGCATTCCCACTTTGGGTAAATATTTCCATATTATGAATATTTCGTAGATTTACCTGTTCAACGACATCCTGTGTGAGTTTCCCAAGCAATGCAGGCATGGTTCGAAAACTTAATTCTGTCATTGGTTCGTAACGACTGTGACTGCTCTGATTCTGTCCCTCTGTTCGTGGAGAGTTTTGCTGCTCCTCATATCGTTCGATTACAGATTGGACTACTTCCTGACTTGCTGGTTCCTTATCAGAATGTTTATGAGGTATAATGCTTCACTTTTTTGTATTTTCAACACTAAACACCAATGTCCTACTGGGCGTGTTAAATTGTTTCGCGCGGGTAGTTGCTAACAATTAAAAAAGATTCAAATGATTGTGTAAGGGACAAACCTCTTGAGATAAAATCCCAAAAAGGGGTTCTTTATTGATGAGAGTTACAATTGAAAATCAACAGAATGCCTCCAAGGGGCGCAAGAATATGAGTACTGAAAATGGATAATTAAAGTTAATCTAAGAAATTGAAATTACATATTCATTCTTTGTTTGAGAGTGTTTGATTCGGGGTCTTTTTTTTCTATATGTCTTCTCTTCCTTTTTATATTCTCATGATAATTTTTTCGTGACAAACCGCTTGGAAATTGATTGATTGCTTTATAACTACCAACTTTCTTCATGGTGGCTAACTTGTCGTGGAACTGTCATCTCTAACTGCTGCCATTACTCTTGTCATTCAACCACCTTCAACTGGGCTCCTTGAATCGTGGGATGTGATAAGACTGCTTGATAACTACTTCAATAACTGCTATCCTGGATAATCCTAATATCTCATATTTGTTAAGATCTTGGGCGATTAGAAGGTTTGGGCGAGAATGGGGTCAACGCTTTGGGAGACCGTAAGATACTCCATTCGCTCAGATTCTGGGCGTCTTGCAAGTTTAGACGATGATGTTACTGTGTTCGTGTGATTCCCCTGCATTCATCAATAATCTTATTTGGGCCTTTATCCTGGACTTCTCAATTAGGTTTCACTCTTTAGTCTATTTAATTTGGACTACATTTTTAGTGTGTCAACAAGAAGGATAAATTTTTTTTATCTCACATATCTAAATTTGATTAATATTTAAAGAATTAGCTTAAAAACAATTGCTGGGTTAATCATGATTAAGAATAAAAATGATTGGGAAATAATGATAATGAGCCATTAAAGAAGAATGGATTCTTTTCTAAGAAAAAGAATAAGAGACTAAGAGCAGAATCTAAACTCGAGAATTATAGTCTTACCTGTCTCGTTGAGTATTAATTAATGCTATTTAACATGTTTGGCACTTAGTACCAGTTTAGGTGATAATTTGAAATGATATGTTAAATATTTTTAATTACATCTATTATGGGTGGCCACATATACTCATACTCTAGATAGAATTATTCTTAATTTTTAATATTCATTTGGTAACACTAGGAATTTATTACACGGGACTGTGCTCTTATTTATATATTTTCCTGTAGAAGGAAAATGATATGATGTGCCAGTGCACCCAAATTAAAATAAAATATCTTAACCATAAACATCAGACTATTTTGGTATTTTTCAAGAAATACATGGTAGTTTTTAGTACAAATAAAATTCAAAATAAATTTATATCCTATGTGTCGTGAGTTAAACATGATTAGAAAATGAAATAGAACAAATTGAGCTACTAGCATCTGCAGTGTGTATATCGCAATCTTATTTCTATATCATCACTACTCTCAATTCTGAATAATTAAAAACGTAGAGATAATATTCAAATGAGATTCAGATATTGACAAATAATTCACAAATAATTTGAGTAACTAATGTATTCAAAATCGAATCGGACCATCCATTTTAGCAGAAAGAATGATGGATTGATTTGGTTATATTTTAAAAATCGTTTAAAGCAAGAACGGCTTAATTCAACTCAAATTTTTAAATTATTATTTTTACCTTGGAAATTCGCCTCTTTAATGATTTATCCTATTTTAAGTTATATATAGATTATAATAATGCACGTGAATAAATTATTTACAGGACAGTAGCTAAACGTAAATGAGAAGTTTATAAATTTTGGAGAATTTAGTAAAGTTTGGATTTCATTGTCAACAGACCACAAATTTAAAGAAGATCCTAATTTTGGTGAATTTAGTTAATAAATTTGTTGGATCCAGTGTTAACTTTGCTTATAAGCAGAAATCTGAAAAGCCAACAGGACCCCCAAAAAAGTCCAGAAAAACAAGTAATTATTATCTTTGCATCTTTGTGCCAGCATCAAACCAAAGACTGAAAAAGAAAAAGAACCAACTTCTATTTCAAATCGAACAACAAATATCCCGATTTCAATTTCAATTCCAATTCACAACCTTTTGTTTTCTGTTTCTCTGAAATCACAATCTGTAGAGAGAAGAAACAGAGAGATTGTGAAAATGAAAAAGGTTTCTTGATTTCCCAACATTCCATGAGAAGAATTTTTTTTTCCCTCAGGTAAAGAATTCTTATTTTATTAAGGATTACACTTTTCAACCTAATCCCACATCATTATTTGAATTTTTAATCCACAATTTAGGACATATTCATGAGAATCAAGACATATTGACAGTCTGTAAATGTGGACCACGTAATTTAATTAGAAAAGAGCGAGCCTTCTTCAATAATGAGACAAAAGGGGTGAACACAATATATATATATATTGCCATTGACTCAAAAATTAGTTTGTTCAACAGAGGATCATCATTGGGTGAACAAAAATTTGGAGGCCCTTTTGTTTCTCTGAAGAAACAAAGCCTATGGAACTGCTCCATTCAATTTTGATATGAATCTCTACAGATTGATTGTATAGTTTTAGATATTTTGGCTGAAAAAATGGGGACAATGGATTGTGGAAATGAAGTATTGCCCGGGTCCGGGGGCCATGAGGAGAAGATTTTCGTGTCGGTGAGGTTGAGGCCGTTGAATACTAAGGAAATCTTGAGGAATGATGTTTCAGATTGGGAATGTATCAATGATAATACAATTATCTACAAGAATGCTAATCTTTCGGCATCAGAACGGTCAATGTATCCCACTGCTTATACATTTGGTGAGAAAATTTTACAATTTTGATATATGGATTAATTTGATTTCTGCTTGTTCTGTATTTTACATTTTTCCAAATTTTGGGTCTTAATGATGTTGAAACAAATCACGTGCTGCACTAATATAATTTTTTCAGCAAAATAAAAAATGATTTCTTAAACTTTTTTATCAGGCTGTGATTTGTTTTATTCAAGTTTTTATTTTTTATTTTTGAGTTCTCTTCTGTTTTATTTCTTAGTTGATCCTCCCTTTTCGAGAAGTATGTGCTTACGAGTAATAATTGTTCAAGGGCTATGAATTATGATACTGCCAACAATTACCATTGCTCCGTTAATACTAATTAAAATGTCATTTAAGGTTTGCAGGCTTTTTTTATGATGTTTTTCACTTTTGTGGAACTATGGTTATATTTTAGACAGGGTATTTAGGAGTGATTGCTCCACGAGACAGGTGTATGAACAAGCAGCTAAGGATGTTTCTCTTTCAGTTGTCAGCGGGATGAATTGTGAGTGCAATTTTTTATTTATTTTCTAGAACTCTTTTCTTCTATGTTTTTTGTATCTCGTTGGATCTCATCAAATTTCAAATTTATTTGTAGCAAGTGTTTTTGCGTATGGACAAACAAGCAGTGGAAAGACATATACGATGACTAGAATTACTGAGTACGCCATCGCAGATATATACGAGTATATGCAGAAGGTAAGCTACATGTTACCATTATTAATCTGCAGCATCAAGTCAACATAACAGGGACACACTTATTAATCCTCGTACTTGAGTTGTTTTCAGCACACAGAACGAGAATTTGTTTTGAAATTCTCTGCTATGGAAATCTACAATGAATCTGTCAGAGACCTCCTCAGTCCAGATTGCATTCCCTTAAGACTTCTAGACGATCCAGAGGTGTGTTCTTTTAAAATATATGATAACTTGGTTGTAGAAATGTTCTCATCAACTGATTATAACTATTTTAATAGAGAGGAACCACAGTTGAGAAACTTACTGAGGAAATTTTGAGGGACTGGAATCATGTGATTGAGCTCCTTTCTGTTTGTGAAGGTAATGTGATCTTGACTAGCTCTAGATTTTTTTAGTGCATGTTTGATACACTTCATTTGATGGAACGACCGGTTGGTATTGAACAAAATATTAAATTTTTTCTTTTTATTGTCCTAATACTCCTACCAAACATACCATTATAGTACTCAGAATCATAGAGTTTAAATTGTTTCTATCAATTTCTTGCAGCTCAAAGACAGATTGGAGAGACATCCCTTAATGATACAAGCTCTAGATCTCATCAGATCATCAGACTGGTATTTTATTTGTTAACTCTACACCTGTTTCCTCGAGGATTTTGATATAACAAACCATTACATTTGCAATTTCCATCTATTGACTATTGGGTTGTTGCAGACAATTGAAAGCTCTTCTCGTGAGGTTTTTCTGAAGGATAACTCGAGCTTTCTTTCAGCTACAGTGGTATGGTTGTACTTTTCATAGTTCATGACCTGTCCTTGACAGTTCCTATTATTATCTTTTGATTAACTTTTTTAATTGTGATACAGAATTTTGTAGATTTGGCTGGAAGTGAACGTGCATCTCAATCGTTATCAGAGGGCACAAGGTTAAAAGAAGGTTGTCACATAAATCGCAGCTTGCTGACCTTGGGAACTGTCATTCGCAAGCTGAGGTCAGTTACATTCTCTCACAGTTTGGTTCCTCAAAGAATTTTTTTAGCTGTTTCCTTATCATTGTCATAACTTTCTGACAACATTTATTTTTTGAGTTGAAAAGATAAATGGCAGAAGTTGAACTATGAAAGTAGTTCTGGCATATTATTGTTGGATGTTTAAGTTAGCACTTTCACTCAACCGGTGAGCTGAGATTTTTTCCTGCCATTTTTGCATATAATCAAATTTGTCATGTTGCTATACAATGAACATAATGGAGTAGCATGACAGGGTCATATAACTGACCTGAAATTTATCGAGAAGAAGGATTAGTTGTTTGAATGGTTGTATACTATTAGACGATCCCTACATTAGATTTATCACGACGTTAGTATGACCTGGTATTTTAGATTATCATGAATCATTTTTAGTTTGTTGTGTTTTCCATTTGAGTTATCCTTCTCATAATTTTTACTTTCTTTAAATTTCGGGCTTTGATGCCTCAACTTATATTGCTTTAGCCGCTTTTGACATGTTCCCCAGAGTTGGTTATACTAATATTGCAATAGTTCTATAAAAAACTGTATATGTAATGACTCGTCTAATTATGTGATAGATTCTTAGATCTAGTGATTCGATTAGCTAATTCGAATTATTATTGCCATATTAACAGATAATTCATTTATAACGGCATGTGGATAATAATGAACATTATTACTGAATTCCTCACCTTGATTTATGTAAATTCTTTCTCTTTTATATTCTTAAAGCAAGTACTTTATGGGTATTCTTTATTTAAGAAATTTAGGATTCTATTGTCATGCTGTTTATCCATACTTTCTTCACTGGAGAAGATAAAATGCACTTAAGGTCTGTCAGTTGTACTCCAGATGAGATCATAAGAAGCTTGACTTGCTTGTTTGAAGTCTCATTTGTTAGTTATTCACATTGTTCACGATAATGTGCAGCAAGGGACGAAATGGACACATTCCTTACAGAGATTCAAAGCTAACTCGCATATTGCAAACGTCATTAGCAGGCAATGCTAGAACAGCCATTATCTGTACTTTGAGCCCTGCAGGGATTCATGTTGAGCAATCAAGAAACACACTTCTCTTTGCAAGCTGTGCAAAGGAAGTGACTACAAATGCCCAAGTTAACTTAGTCATGTCAGAAAAAGCATTGGTAAAACATCTTCAGAGGGAGCTAGCGAGACTAGAGAGTAAGTTGAGAAGTCCTCAGTCGACTTTGTCCACATCGAGTTATCCTACATTACTGAGAGAGAAAGACCTTCAAATTGAAAAGGTAATAAATCAAGATGAACTTTTAAAGGATGATCCTGTTAAAGGGTCCAGTTATATGGTGAAATTTGAACACAAACAAGATAGCTTGCAGATTTACCATATAATTGGTGGCTTCTTTTTCTTCTGAACAACTAAATTAGGAATCTCTGTGTAGTCCAACTGATGTCTTCGGAAATGCCAAAGCCAATTTCTTGAGTATTTTGAATCTTAAAGCAATCTTGTTGATTCTTTTGCATTGTTTTTTTCCGAAGCACAACTATACCTGTTTAGTTATTAGAACTGTTTTAAATTCACACTCTCCACATAGCTTTTGGGAACAGGAAGGTCAAGAATAATTTACTATATGCAGTCGAGATCTATCAAGTGGCTGTAGTCAGATAAATTCGCAAGATTTCATTTGCAGCATTGATTTTCATGAGAGTTGTGCATAATTCAGGAGAATTGTATTATTGGTTTACAACTTGGAGCTTTTGTTGAATTCTTTTTCCGTTTGATGTAGCTTGAGAAGGAGGTAAAAGAATTGATTCTGCAAAGAGATATTGCCCAAACTCAAGTTAAAGATTTGTTACAAATGATTGGGGATGATGGAAATTCCATGATACGGGTAACAAATTTATTAAATTGAATTTTTTATTTAACCTTTATAATCATTCTTTACATTAAATATTTGTTTTTGTTGATTCGTTTCAGGTAGGATTGGGGCACTACCCACACTTGCGAGTGCAGAAATCACCAGAATATGAAATACCAGAACAAGAGACGTCCATTGGGGCAGATCCTCATTCTTTGGATCTTGATATTAGATCAGATGGTCATAGTAGGACCAGTTCTATTGATCATTTTGCACGAGTTCCATATTTCGATGAAACCTTTGTGAACAGTAATACATCTCCAAGTCTCGTAATAAGCAGATCAAATTTTAGTGAAAGTGATTCATTTCAGGGATGGGAGGAGATGGAGAAACAAAGTAATGAGCCTTCAGAGGATTTATGCAAGGAAGTTCGTTGCATCGAGATAGAAGAGTCAAGTAACAAAGGAGCTGTAGAATCCAATTGCTTATCTTCTGAAGAAAATATTAGATTCCCTGCACTAAGAATATCCAGAAATGGTGATGGATTAGAACCAGAATTCGTGTTAACTGCTCCAGCAAAAGATGAAGAATTAGTGTCATCTCAGTTGAAGGACGATATTCAAATGAATACAGAAGTGGACCCCAGGCCCTCTATTGAAGACAAAGAACCTGTTTTGACATTTTTGAAGGAAGATAGAGAGTCGGTTTCATCATCGTTCAAGGTAGAAAGAGAATTGAAGTGCCTTCCTTTTCTTAAAGTGTCTTCTTTAACAAATGATCTGGCTAAAGATTCATCTGGCTCTAGAAGCTTGAAATTAACAAAAAGTAGAAGCTGTAAAGCAAGTATTATAGCCGACTCATCTTCTCCCTGGTTAAAGATGATACAGTACTGTGAAAATACACCACCTGATGGATCAGAAAGAGAGTACACCTCAAGACCTGTGGGCTTTGAAAGGAAAATACCTCCTTTAAACTTTGGTTCTAACACACAAAGGTCAGAAGCAGAAGATTCTCAGTTTTCTGCAAAAAATGCTTTTGATATTGATGTTGATGTATCAAAGGGGGAAGTTTCGACTGCTGACGATGTTTTCGTCGATGATACATCCAATGTAGAAATAAGAGAAAAGGCTGAACTTCCTATTGAAAAGGAGTTTGCTAAAATACTAACTGAAAAGGAGTTTTCTGATATTCCAGTAAGTTCATTTAAGAATCTGATGGATCTTCGTAAAACTTAATGCTACATTATTAAAATGTCTGATGTCTATCGGGTTTGATGTTGCTCTTACTCTTTAGCATTTGATGTTTTATGCAGGAGAAGGAGACGGAATTAATGGCCAATCAAACTTCAAAGTCTGTAAAAGATGTTGGCTTGGATCCAATAGAAGAAGAAGAGCCTAAAGGTTTCCCATATAATTGGCCTTTGGACTTCAAAAGACTCCAAAGAGAAATAATTGTATGTTGGCATGCATGCAATGTCTCATTGGTGCATCGAACCTATTTCTTCCTGCTTTTTCAAGGTGATCCTTCAGACTCCATATATTTGGAGGTCGAGTTGAGGAGGATGATGTTCCTAAAGGACAAAGTTTCTCGAGGAGAGAAGACTATTGTAAATGGACGAAAACTATCACTTGCTTCAAGGTAAGATCTTGATATGAAGTTTTTCTTGAAAATTGTAGATATATTTGGAGGAGTCACTTATATGATCATTACATACACTATCCAGATGGAGTTTCTTACTGATGACTGATTCACATTCTTATTTTTGTTGGTTAATTGACTCGTTTGCATCTCGACTTGATATAAAATGAAATCTACACTTTGTAGTTTAGTTTACAACACTTTGTTTGTTATGTGCTCAACAGTAGTTACATCATCAATAATATCACATAGGGTCATTTTATACTTCCAAATTTTCTTTCATACAAGGCATAATTACACGTGCATGTTTCCTATGAGCACCAGACACGAGAAGACGATATAACGAAAAAGATTTTAGCTTCCTTCTTTGTTCAGTATTGTCTAGTACTCCCCCCTCTCCGAGTCAAACATGACACAAACGTATTTATCAAACAAAGGTGTGATAGCATGTAATTGTTATCCCTCTATCTTGTTCTCTGATCTGTTTGTTTCAAAACAGTGTGAAGGGACTTCGTCAAGAGAGACGGATGCTGAGCAACCAGATGTCAAAGAAGCTTTCTGAACAAGAAAGAGACAGCCTCTTCATCAAGTGGGGTATTGGGATCAATACAAAACTCAGGAGACTACAGTTAGCTCACCGATTGTGGTCTAACACGGAAGATATGAACCACATTGCTGATAGTGCATTTCTTGTTGCAAAGCTGGTTGGTTTTACTGATCCGGGTGTGGCTACAAAGGAGATGTTTGGGCTTAATTTTACACCTGGCTCGACTAGAACATATAGTTTCAAACGCAGTCTTGTATCTCTCTTGTGACTATCCAATAGGCAGAAGGATTAAACCGTGGTTCTATAATATTTTTAACTCGCTCGTCTTTTCCTTGGATGTTTGCATAGATTGTTTCCACTTCTTTCTCTTGATTGTAATTTATCGTAGAGAGGGTCATAAGTTTTCTTGAATTAGAAGAGTTTAACTGTGTTGTCCTTGCCTTGTTTCCTTTATCGTAAAGGAGTTAAGTTTTACAGTAATGGTCAGCGGAATACATGAGAAAATCAGTTCAGCGATTTGATCTCGTTTTTCTTACTACTACAAGGGTATTTTTATTTACTTACCCCCTTAATAACTGAAACTGAAGAAAACTACACTCATAAAGGAATAGCATCGGAGAAACACGAAGTTACTTAAAGAAACAGTCTAACTGAACATTCTGAAATAAGTTGCTGAAGAAATGGCATATTGCCTGGCGGAGGATGTCAGTGGGGAGAAATTCTTCAAAAGTTTAAAAATCGATCGAGTGGAAATGCCTCCGAAGGCTTTGGAAGGAGGAGAAACCACCAAACTAAACCTCAAACATGGATCCTTCGTTTGGGATGATGATTCTAGCTCAAAGAAACTTGAGCCACTGTAACTTGCCTCCATCCCACCCACTAATGTAATTTTTTTACATATATAAGTGTTCGTAGCGAGAGTTAAAAAGAAGTCGGATTGATTTGACAGAGTTAGAGCGTTTGTGTCAAGTGAGCTCTATTTGACAACCATTATTTGGAAACTTTTTTTTTTCCAACTATACATTCATACAATAAAATATTTTGTACGTAAATCCAAAACTTTTACTTATTTTTTAATTACACATTCTTCTAAAAATCATTAGTCAAACCATGATTTTTCGAAAACAATGGTTGTCAAATAGGGGCAAAGTCCTTGTTTGAGCCTCATTTTTTAGAATCAATTTTGTAAAATGTGATTTTTTATTTAGAGATTGTATGATTAAAAGTAAGGAAAAATTTTACATTTATGTGTAAAATTATTTTATTAAAAAATATATAATTAAAAATGAGAGTGAAAAAAAATGAATTTTAAATAATGGAGTTGAAACATGAACTAAAACTAGTCTAAAAGGAACAAGTCACCTTTAAGGGGAACTATTTAAGTTTTTCAGGCCAAAACTAAAAAATAAAAAAAAAACTCTCTTCCCCTTGAAATATACCATAATTGGCGAGTTCTCCCAATTAAAACCTCCAATAGAGATGGTGAGGAAGGCAATCACTGACTTTTATTATAAGGGGCCGTTTTTGGTGGACTTATTGGACTATGAGCGCGTTCGCATAAACTTCAAGTGACGTGGAGTGTTAGAAAGGAAAATCATAAACAAATTGAAAAATAGGAGAGATAAGAAGGAAATATGAAAATGCGCAAAACTTTTACTTGGGGTGTCGATTTTTGCGAACAAGTACAATTCGAAAGCGTTTTTCGATTTTGTACTTTTTTGGGTTGACAATGTTGGTTTCATGGTCAAATTTCACCGTTTAAGGGTTCATTTAGCATTTTTTATTTTGTGTTAGTTTAAGGGTATCTTAATGGTTTTTTTTATTTTAAAAAAGATTTTTCTACAAAATTAAGATTTCGATTTGATTAGGATTCGTTTTGAATCTTTAAATATGCTAGGGGTTTAAAAACCTTAATTTCATTTTTTTATTAATAATAATTCAGTTTTCTCATTATTCGGTGAATTCCAATATTTATCACGTTTGTTCGAGCAAAATTTGAGTAACAAACATTCATGTGTTATGAACAAGAACATTTTATTATAAAATTCACATTTATGTTATGTTCGTCAAGCTTGATAAGGACCTCTTTTTTATTGGGAAGGGCCCTCGAACTACGTGATACTTCAAAGTATCATCGAGTTTCAGCTCCAAATAGTCTACTACCATGTCACAAGCTGGGATGGAGAAAATAGAAAGAGTGTCACAAAGAAATGTATGCACTCAATCCAAGAAACAGACTAATGTTTCGAATAAGCAAAAGATGTTAACTCGTGGACCATTTTGTTACCCCCACGGATATACAAACAAGAGCCACAACTAACATCAAGAAATAATGTAGCTATATCTTAAAATAACCCCACATGTGATATATTATAAATTTTGCTTTGCATACTGTAAATTCTAAAACCTAGTAAATTAAATATCCATTTTTAAATTTTCAATTTAAACCGTACACACCGGGCAATCAGAATATTCTCTGACCGATTTTCAAGCAGTCCTGACTGCATCGTGTAAATAGAATCTAATGTTCTAAATGATTTTAATAAATTGTGAAAATTAACTAATATATTAAAACATGAACACCATATGTAAAGTGGTACACCCCTAAGGGAAATATCCACAGCCCCATGTCACGGGTAAAATAATTTACTAAATCAAACGATAAAAATACAGTAGTCTTTGTTTTGTAATTTCGCAAAATTAATAAATAACAATAAAAATATCTAATGACTACTCTTATTTTCTTCTTCTTTTGACTTGTTATAGAAGTGGAATCAAACCATCCGATCTTGACTTTTATTGCCACCTCACTATTGTACTCAATCCAACTACCACTTGGATTAAAAATTACAATTCTTGCCCCCCGGGGCACATCCAAATTGGCAAAGGATGGACAATGCTGGGCTTGCAACCTCAGGGTGGGGAGTTCGATTCCTGGATGGATCAGCTGAGTGTTGTAATACTCAATTTGGGTGGAGCAGCTTGGTGATGTAATAATCATGGAGGAAGGTTCCCTTGGTGNTCCATAGAAGAAGGCTCCCTTGGGGCCAGGAGTATAAAGGGTGCACAGACCCTGGTCAACTTGGGCATATCCCGCGGTTAACCTCCACCCATCACTGAGGGGCCGGGGATGGGTGGTTCAGGACATAGTCTAGTGTAAGTTAGGATACCTGGATATCAAAAAAAAAAAAAAATTACAATTCTTAACTCACGTCAAACAGTTTGATCCTTGAACTGGATTGAGCATTAAGCATAGGTTGATGTATGTTTTCCAAATATTTTAAGAAAACGCTGGCTTTGAAAATGTTCATTGAAACATCACGTTTGTATGAACTCTTTCGAGAACTGTTTCGCTGCTGGTTAATGACAGAACTTCTTGCTGTTGGATAACAGCAGAATTGCTTGCTGTTGGTTCAGGGACTAGAATTAGGTTTTTCAAAGATTGACTTTGAACTAATTAATTAAGCATCATGTCTTGTGTAGTTTCTAGAATTCGGAAAAGCCATAGCTTGTAGGGACAAGGACGGAAAAATTATCCAAAGCTGTAATTTTCATTCTTAATTAATTACCTTACTTATAGCTAAAGCAATTAACAAGATTCCAACTAAGTCTTACCTAAAAAATCAAACAATGAAACATGGGAAGTATGAAATTATATCATAAAAGATTTATTTGATATGGTTATAAATAAACTTAATGAAAGTTTAATAATAAACCAATTTTTCCTTAACTTTAATTATCTAACATATCAAATAATATCTATATCTTGTTTGACCACATTTTTCGAAAAATTTATTTTTCCAAAACTTATTTTCAACCACATATTTTTCAATAAAATAATATTACACGTAAACTCAAAACTTTTCTTTAATTTTTAATTACACATTCTACATCAATTTACTATTTCAAAATGCATTATTTCCCCAGAATGGGGCTCAAGCAAGGGCCAAAGATGGTATGTAAATCTGAATTAACTACAATATGGAAAGAGGAAATTAGGTCCCATTTTGGGTGTTAAAACCTCAAATTTCGCACACATAATTCTGTTAAAACCCGTACTATCAAGTCAATTAGGACTGCCAGTTTGCCTGGATAACATCCTGCTTTTTACATTTTTAGTACTTGTTCTTGACATCTAAAAATTAATCTATATTAAGTAAGTTAACAAAAATAATATACCAAAGTCCGCCCTGGCCGCCCTTTGGCTTAACTTTGTGAGTATGTGTTGATTGTCGATCAAATTATGTACATGAATTATTCACTTTCAGTCATTTCTTATCACACACCATGCTCCCCTAACTCAAGTATCCTAACACTCGTGTTTTTTGCTATCACAATTTCGCCTTCATTACAAGATATCTCAAAATCTACTATTCTTTTCTGGAATCAAATCCACACCATATAAAGTGAAACAAATAGCTAGATCAGAGAGTTTAAGTCAGAATTATAGAACCACCCAATTAGTGGACTTCTTAGCCCATAGAAGGTTGGTATGGATTGGCTATTTGGAGTTGGGGTCTCATTGTTTTTCTTGACTTCCTCAACTAGATCGGACCAGACTCTCTCTTCAATAGGCTGTTCTATACAAACTTGAAATAGAGGAAAAAAATAGATCAAATGCAGAGAGATATCTCGAGAGATTTGTTAGAGAATGATGGAATTTAGCCCTAACTTCCCATTTAAAGGAGAAAATTCTTCAATTTTCTTACTATTTAATTCCAATTAGGTTGAATCATCCTTTCATATACCATGCAGATCCTACTTCTAAAAATGGAGATCAATTCCCATTTATCCCAAAAGCAATATTTTACTGTTCGGCTAAGACTTGTTGATCAGAAAATTTGTGAAAAGCCCACACAAGCCAGTCACACAAGATAAGTGAAATTTCAAATTGAAATTGACACTAATTAATTATTTTTGGGCAAATTTCACATTCGATAAATTCACATCAGATGTCAGCTCATACTTAAATTCAATCAATTGGTGAGGTTATGATGTGAACATGTGAAGCAACATTCTAACCAATCAATCATAACCCAAACCCCTAACCCTAACCCAAGTGGAGTGTTTAATAGACAAGTACATACATGCATTTCGAACTAGCCATCATCTGAAATTGTCTCTGTAAATAGGAAAATGTATGCATGCCGACAAGAGCATAAATATGTATCTTTTCAGTTTCTTTTGAATGCTCATTGTGTTGACTCTTTTTATTTTCTTTTAAAGCACAGTCTCTTGAATTCATGGAGTTGACTTTCAGTATGTTAT